ATATTTCTTTGCGCTTGTGTTTGAGGTAGTTCTTGAATTCCTTCCAGCTTTTTGGTAATTTTTCAATTAAGGCTGCAACTTGGAAGGATTCACTAAGAGACATACCTTCTGTGTGAATGTCATGCAGAATGAGTTGGAAATCTTGAGTTTGGCTGATCACAGTTTTTGAATCAACCATTACAAAATTCAAGAATCTGCCAACCACAAATTTCTTTGAGCCGGCATCTTCCGTTTTGTACTTTTTCTTCAACGATTCCCAAAGTTCCTTTGCTGTCTTGATTGGACTGTAAACGTTGTATAATGTGTTGTCAAGTCCGTTCAAGATGTAATTCCGGCAAAGGAAATCGGCATGTTTCCAGGCATCAACTGCAGCAACCACTTGCCGGTCAGTTTCATCCTCTTTCAGGATAGGAGCATCTTCACGGAGAAAACGAGCCAGGTTCAGAGTTGTAAAATAGAACAACATTTTCTGTTGCCATTTTTAAAGTCAGTTCCTAAGAACTTCTCTGGCTTTTCACCGTGATTTACCGGTACTGTTACAACAGGAGAGGGGGTTTGCGTCATTGCAGCCACCACAGTAGTACTTGTTTGGGCATTTGTTTCAGTAGCAATCAATTCTAATATATAAAACAAAATTATAATTAGAATTTACACTACACAGAAAATTAAACCAAATTCACAGAATTAAATTCCATAAAAATAAAAGAAACAAGAATGTAACTTTTATTTTCCAATTAATTTGAAAATAAAATAAAATTTTATTTAAACAAATTAATTTCACACAGAAAATTAAATTCTGTAAAATAAAAGAAATAAAAACTATAACTTTTATTTTTCAATTAATTTGGAAATAAAATAAAATTTTATTTAACCAAATTAATTCCACACAAGAAAATAAATTTTGTAAAAATAAAAGAAATAAAAACTATAACTTTTATTTTTCAATTAATTTGGAAAATTAATTCCACACAAGAAAATTAATTTCAGTAACACTTCAATAATTAAAATATTGAAACAGAATTTTAATTAATGAAAACTCAGAAAATAATTTCTAAAACCCAAAATTAATTTCTGAAAAAATTTCACAAAAATATATTCTGAATTGTTAATGACACCAGTATCGTACTACTAGTTGTTGTCAAAGAAAAGAGACAGTATATTACTACTATCTGTCAAATAGCATATAATCACTATTTATTTTTCCAACCAGAATATTATTTTGTAAATCCACAGAAAATAATTTTCTTTCGAAATTATTTACGAAGAATGAAAAAGGAAAACAAACGAAAAATTCTGTAAACAGAATAATTCGAATCTGTCTTAAGATTGTTGGAACAATCTTCTGTGTAAATAAAATAACAAGAAATAAAATCAAACAAAATAAATAAATAACATACCGAATTTATTTTGTCGAACCAAATAAAAATTACAAGACCAAGTCGAGTGTGTGACACTCTGTCCTTAAGACAGATTCGCCCCGCTATGGTACTTACGGTTGAGTGGCGTCTATCTCCCAGGATACAATAATCTTCACAAATTGTAGTAGTACTCCAAACAACTTGTTCGGCGAACCAAACCTGTGTTCTAACTCTCTGAATATTTTTTTTTTCTAAAATTATATATGAAGAATATATGTACTTAGAGCAAAGAGGACAGCAATATTAAAACAAAAATACAGACTGAATTTTCCGGGGTGTCTCAACTGCTGGAAATGTATCTATATATATAGGCAACAAATTAGACCCGAAAAGATGTTACAAATAAGTGAAAAGGTGCAAAACAATTGTCTGACCAATGGCACAAGGAAAACCAATGTTCAAACAACTTTGAAAAGTTTGACTGTTAGTCAACCAGTATAACCTGTAGAACTTTATTAATTATTCAAACTATTTCAAATATATATATATTAAACTAATTAAATATATATATATATTAAACTAATTAAATATATATATATTAAATTATTGAAATAGTTAAATAAATAAATAAATGATGAGGTACAAACTTTAGAAAACTTTTCAGGAACCTAAAATTTGAATTTAGAATTAAATTAAATTCTCATAATTACAAATTTTAAGAAACCACTTATGAACTCAAAATTTGAATTTAGAATTAAATTGAATTCCCACCATAATTTTTTATTGAAAAAATTCAAATGAATTTAATCTAAAAAATTAAAGTTAAATCCGAAAAACGACGTCAACTTCCCATTCACTCATAAATGGTTTTGACGTTCCGTCTTCACTGTGTGACTTGCCACGCGGCCATGAGCACATCACCTCTTCGGACCCACCCCAAAAGACGTTTGGGGCCCACTCAAAATTGAGCTAAAAAATATGCTTATATAAAACCATTTCCAACAGATCTCACAATTTGAAATGTGGAAGTGAAGGAACTCCATCAAGCCCTTTGGCATAGTAGTGTTTGAGGTAGTCTTTCAAAGTGGTTTCTCTGTATATTGGAGGGTTTTCCTCTGATAACAACTCTTTGATGGGTCCATAAAGTCTTGAAGTAATCTTTGTATCACCATTTGTTCTGAAAAAACATGCCACTGAAACTCTTGGCCCAACATGCTTTGCCAATACTCTGTGTTCAACACTTTTAAACTTATCGTTTGAGATGAGCTGCTCAAATACAGACATTGAAACAAATAAGACAGGTTGTCAGTTCCAAACCAAAATCCGTTGTTCAGAGACAATAATATGATTTTTGGCGTGGTTGGTTTTTTGTTGGGAGAATTGACCAAATGGAATAGATTAACCATTTCCTATGAAGTTGAAGCATAATTCTTATTCTATCTCGTTCTAAAGATTGGAATCATGAGGATCTGGAATCATATTTTCATTATTTAAATATTGCCTTCATTATCAGTGCAATGAGACCATTGAAATACATAATCAAGTTCAAAAGGAATGGACACGTGCCTGAAGAAGATCTCCAATGTTGACCATAAGAGCACCAGGGGTGAAGGTCACATCAACCCACTGATTCTGATGAAGAACTTGGAGGCCACCTATTTGGTTCTGTAGAAGGATGGTCATGAAGGTAGAATCAGTGTGGCTGCTAGATCCCAAAGTCAAATCTGGTTCGGGGCAGGCAGGGTAGTAATGGCCCAGGTGGAGAATCCCCTCAACACAACCCATCTCTTTTAAATGGTTTGGGTTTAACCCAAGAGCCTCGGATAATAATTCAGAAATAGTACATCCCAATCTCATTGCTTGCCTTGTGTACTCAAACATTATGTCTCTGCAGGTTGATGGGAAATCATCATATAGCATAGTCACAAGTTTCTTAGCTGGGAGATGGTGAGGCAAATTGTGAATAAAATGGTCTCATGTTCGACTCTCATAGGACACAAACATTCAAGTTTAACCGATACACGTAATTTGTGAGTGATTGTGCATATCCAAAATTTATTCATTAAGGCCTAGTAATGAATGAGAAGGCGAGGTTGTCAGTCATATTAAATAATTAAAAAATAAAATAGTTTCAGGTCCACAAATATGGCATTGTTAATAGCTTTTAATAACTGATATAATTTTCTTGGAAGTTGCTGCTTACAAGGTTGTACTGGCCTCCCTAACCTTTTTGCTTTCTTACCTAATTTTTGTCCAAAATTTTAGAACACTGATAATAGATCAACATTAAATTCCACAAGTTAAATTCATTTTGAAAGTTGTGACCTTAGATTAATTTCACATCACATACCTGCAAACAGCAGGCAATTCCTCAGGATCAGGTGGATGAGGAGCCATAAAACAAGACATGGAATCCCTCCAATTAGCCATTGGCGCTTCGAACAGATCAAAATTGCTGTAATGCAAAAACCTCCTGACTTTGCCATCACGAAAATAGTACTGTTTCCTCACCTCAATGTCTTGTTCATGAAACCTCCGTACCCCATCGATCATCCCATCCATGACACTAACCGGAATTCCATGATTGATCACTTGAAAGAATCCCCAGTTCACGCATGAGTCTAGAATTTTCTCAACAAACTCACGACGCAGACCTGAATCTGTGTCAATACCTTCAAAATCAATCACTGGAATGCTAAACTTGGAATTGCCAGAACCCAACTGATCATCAGAGCGAAGCTGGTTGTGGCCATTGACAAAGATTTTTGGTATATTTGTCACCCCGGCATCAAGAAGGCCCTTAACTCCAGCTTTAGAGTCATCGAAGGCTTTTAGTTCACTCTTTCTATCATAACCAGTTTCTGTTACTGCCTGAACTAAACCAGTGCTTGTGACTACCATTTTTCTTAAATTTCTCTAGTGATACTATGACCAGTGTTACAATGAAAAGACCAGAAGCGTCCAAAGTAAAATGGACTTTCTGTCATTTGAAACTATAAACTTGAAATGTCGTTATTACCAGCTTTCTTCCAATAATGCCTCCATGAATATTTAGAAAATTTTCACAGTAATGCTGACATCACTGCATTCGTCTTTGTTTGTGCGTGGGCCATCCAAGATTAATGTTGTGTGTGAACTTTCGAGTAAAAAGATATTATGTGAACTAAATGTGTTTTCGTGTTACTTTTGGGTTCAAATAGACACAAATCATCTCTCTTTTTTTTTTCTTTTTTTAAAGGGCCATATGTTCGCAACTGGAAAGAAGGTATATGGGTCAGAGCAACTGTCTTTCCAACCTCTCACATTTAATTCACTGAGAAAACTTTGTTTCGGAAAATGTTTTCTGCCTTCTAAAAGTGGAAAACCTTTTTCACCCAAATAGACTTATTTTTCATTGACTATAGAAAATGTTAACGTCATATGGCACTCCACATATATTGTGATTGGTGGAGGGAATGAAGTCCACGATTTTGTATTGAATAATTAGAAAACATGAGTAGACATAATGATTTGTGATTGGTGAAGAATATCATCACATGACATGCCAAGACTAACCAATAATTTTTCACCAATCATTCCAACCTTTTCTGTGGATAATGTTTTAAAAGAAGGTATGAGAGCAGCTGTCCTTACAACCTCACAATTAATTCACTAACAATATCATTCCAAACTTTTTCTATGGATAATGTTTTTTCTGAAATTTTTTTAAGTACTGCTATTCAAGTCTAAAAATTAAATCTATTTTTTTAGACTCAATGATGTAACACTCTATTAAATATTTAAGTTAATTCCCTCTCATTTATTCTCTAATTACCAACCAATTATCTTACTGAATCTAGAAAATAGATTTAAAAAATGAGTTTGTATATTATTTTCTTTGTTTTTTTTTATGCAAAAGCCATGAACTAATTTACAAGTAGGAAAGCACACTTTGTAGCTTTAATTTATTTTCGTTGCTATTTGCACAACATATGTAACTTGCTGCAATCTTGCTAATTCACATCTCTCACATGTATTTGAAGTAGATTGAGTCTAAACCTCTATGGATACTGTATTTTCAGGTGCTTTGAAAGAACCATACATGTCAAATTTGAAGAATGATGCATATTAGAAGTGCTCACATACCAGATTGATTCGATTTTAAAAAATGAAAATGGAACAGTAACTTAATCAGCACACTTAATTGCAAAAATTTAGAAAAAAAACCATGTTAAATAAAATTGAAAACAAACAACAAAAAATAATTTGCTTTCAGTTATGTTCCATAATTCTAGATTAGTCTCTCAAAACAATCTCACCATTTTTTATGTCTAGCAAAAAAAGGGGAAATAAAAATGAGAGAAAAGATACCTTCACAGCAATAAAATTCAGAAACTTTTACACTGTTTAGTTGGGAAAGATAAAGGAAAAAAATGCGTGAAATTAAATAAATTGTAAATATATTTTATTCACATTTCGCATACATTTTTCCTTTTCCTTTTCCTTTTCATTTTCTTTTTCGTTTTCTTTCCAAATTCTCTCACCAAACATAGCGCTAAGAAAACGTTTGACCAACGAGCCACGTCTTTGATCCAAATCCCACCTCTTTTAATTGGGTAATTATTCATGAGTATGTGGCATGCCACACATTGCATCCACACCCTCCATTGGTGTGGTCCTTGAATCCGTTAATTATTCATCACTTGCATTCACTGAGCCCAGGTCATCTGCTCAGCTCAACAAACAATTGAAAGGGTGCACGTGCAAATGTGAGCGCAAAGAACCCTGAATTTCTTCAGCAAAAACACCAATTGGCAGAATAGGCAGCCCACATCAAACCGTCAAAGCAGGAATTTGTTTTCAATGGCCCAAGACAATCGATCTTGATTGGCCAAATCTGTTTTAATACCAGTCATGGTTGACACCAAATTTGACCCAAACCACAATTATTCTCCCATAGTAGAATGCTTGTATTAAACCACAAACAATCGGGCTAGAGCAAGAAGCAGATCAAACGTTAAACAAAAAGAAACTGGAGTAAAACCTGGATAGAGGACAGAATTTGACCTTTTCTCATGAATTATATATTTCCAAAACTCGATTCAAAATTTCCATAAATCTCAATGAGAACATCACACCATAAATGTTAAAAAGTGAGAATAAACCCAAAAAAGAAGAATACAGATAACAAGAAACTGTCTCCTCAACACTACAAGCATCCAAAATGCGGTCCTTAGTGATTTCCAGACACATTGGCACTGTTAATATGATGTAACATGAGGTGAACACATGATATTCTTTCTCAACCCGTCTTAGTTTTGGGAGCCTTCTTCTTGAGTCTCCTTGGCATTGAGTTTTTCATGCCAATAAAGAAGAGCAATGCCCCCAACAATGACAAGCTCTGCAAAAGAAAACATAAAATTAATCAATTCTGATTCTTTCATTTTCAGCTGATACGTAGATATAATAATAATAATAATAAAGAGTTAATCCACTTTGGTAGAGAATCCCATTGGCTAACCTGTGAAAACTTGACGAAAAGTTGAGCATATTCTTTCTTGTCAACATCATAGTTGTAGAAGTCATACAAAATTGGAGTAGCAATTGCCTGGTGTAAAAGCTGCACAAGAGACAAAAGGGAATAAATAAATTGTTAGTGAGATTCAATGAAACTGATTTGATAGGCCAAAGAAATTAAAACAAGGATGAATTAGTTGAGACTACATACCAGTAGAAAAGCTCCAAGAGAGCTGCCAAAAATGAAAAGAAGGCTTCCAAGACCCTTCATAGCTATGGCTGCAACAACTAGAAATTTGATCTGTGAATAAAACGACTTGATGTTAGTTGTGACATTGTAGAAAAACAGGTATGTTCATTCCAATCATGGAAACTAATAGGGAAAAAAAATTTCTCACTTCTATATCTGGCACTTGCAGCCCAGTTTGAACTGACAAATGTTTTGAGAATACATTGAACTTTGGTGTAAGGGACTCCGCAGCTGGCCCACCATCAACGCCAAATTCATTGAACCTACAAGCAGGAACAGTTAACAAATAATTCAACAAAGAGGGGAAAAATTAAGAGACAAAGTACACAATTTTCAAGCAACACATCACTGTGCCTCTGTGCCTCAAGAAGAAAATTCCTTTCGATAAGGTTTCTTTTCAGGAAAACGAGAGATTGAAATCTTTCTTTATCACCATGTTAACTTCTAAGGTCCTATGGCCCTGTTTCGTAGAGCTTTTTTTAAGTTAAAAGCTGATAATCAGAAAGCAGAATCTAAAAGCACCCCTACCCCAACTTTTAAATAATCAGCTTTTTTCAGCTTATTTAAGTTATTTCTGCCTAATAAGCTATAAGCAGAGAATGCACCAAACAATCTGGCACAGGCTCCCAAATTAAAATAAGCTATAATCACCCCCCAAAAACTGTAACAAACAGTCCCATAGTGTCAAAAATGCATAATAACTAACAGTCTACAATTTTTAAATACAGCACTCTTAAATTTTTGTTTCTTCTTTGCCTTTGCATTAACAAGGTACATCATCTATATTTGTGGGAATAAACCAGAACTTGTAAGCAATTGACAATTTGACATTATTAGGCTTCTCAAAAACTTTTCTACCAATCTTTAGCACATGCCAAGATGGATACCAGCACATGTTACAACTCAAAACAGAGTGATTGTATCCAAAATCACATCACATCAGTCGTGTAAGAAAGTACACGCTCTAGTTTACTTCTTAAATGTCCCTTTTCCCCCTATATGCACACCATTAGACTAAAGTTGCCCCAAACACTTAAGTTGTTTAGCATGGTTGCCAGAACTTTGGTTCTAAAAGGTTCCAGGCTGAAGCCTATCCATTCTAAATCCAATCTATAAGCATATCAAAAGATCAAACATCAACCAGATCATTTTCAATGAGAAAAAACAAGCCTCAAATGATTGTCTTGAATTTCATACAGTAAATTTTACAGGTCATTCCAAATTTAGAACAAAACCACGACATTTACTCCAACCTATATCGGACATCAGGGCTTTTGGCATGTTGGCTTTTTGGCTAAACACCCAATCACATCATTCTCTCTATTTTTTTTGCATGTCTTTTCGTAAAAAACCAAAAGGCCAACTAAAATAGTCAATTCTTAAACGATCTATGCAGAGTCCATGTTTCATTCACTACACATATTTGAACCCAACATCTCCCATAGCCAAAACCCTGATGTCCTTTTGGGAGAAACTTGTTGTACAAAAGATTCCATTAACAGGCCTACTTTTGGATCATCTTATATTTTTTTCATTGATCAAGCTAACATATTTACACCTTCATCCCATCCCTTTTGGATCATCTTAACTTCCTCCCGAAAACCTAAATTACCAAAGTTCTATTTCTGGTTAGAATCTCCACATAGCCATCTCTACCACAAGCCTTGGACACAACAGTTTAAAACAGAAACAATATAAAAATTAAGCCGCAATGCTTCTATGTGTTGCATTAGTAAGCAACAAAAGCTTAATAACAAATAACAATTTGCATTAAATAAACAACCACTTGTATCCGATGCCAAAATTACTAACTGATGCATGACTGCCCACATTTTGCAAACCATATTTCAAACATTAATTGAAAGCACGACCACTACAACACAGAATCTGGGTCAAAAGATAGTAAAATCATTTATATATATAATGGGAGAACCCCATTTTGGTGTTTCCGGCTTTCTGAAGGTGTGCTAACGCTCTTGTTTCCTAAAGAATCAATGATGTATATAGTAAGACGCTTGTTCATGCAATTCAAATTCAAATATTCACAATTTGATTTGGTGGGTAGAGAGACGAGATCTTCTTTTACTGATGTGTAGAGAGACAATATTTTTTTTTTTTTTTGATAAATAAGCAAATATTATTGAGAAAGGATCAAGATGATACAACAAATACAGGGAGGCCACCCCAGATTGGGGAGACCAAAATAAAAAGTGTAGAGAGACAATATTTGAAAATTAGTTTCCGGAAATCAGTTAATTTAGGGTATATGACAGTGGCAGTAATATTTAGGCATAACTACAATTCAAATTTTATTCAAATTTCCGTTCTTGTATGTCTTTGTTTTAAGCCAATCACAATATACAAAAACCAAAAACCAAAGGAGACTCGGAGAGCTAGCTAGAAACAGTTGGCCAAAACAGTAACAAAATTACTTAGTCGTGCTAAAAAACTGCGAATAAAGTTAAAGTTAAAGCAAAAGCAAATTTTCAGCCAAAATAGCGAGATCCAGCGTGTACTAGAGTGTTTAGTTCCAAATCTACCACAAAATCAAGGCAAATCTCAAACTTTTAAGATCCAAGGCCACAAGCACTGCAACCAAAAATTCACTAAAAGCAGCAACAAAACCCTAACATCTCCTTACCAACAAGTCCATATCAATGAAGTACATAAAACGAATCACTCACTCATACATGACAAGAGAAGATTTAGAACATAGCAGATCTGACAAAACAGAGCGAAGAAGAAGAAGAGCAAAAAAAAAAGCTTACTCTTGCCATGCAGAGAGTATGAAAACAGAGGCAAACAGGACTCTCCCAAGGAACGATACGAACGCCATTGATGTCCGAACACGGCCGCCTGACTCTCTCTCTATATATATCAATCGATCTTCTCTCTCTAGAAATCGAGACAGAAGACAGACGCGAGGAGTGAAATGAGGGACAGTGTATGAGAGAGAAAGAGAGAGAGAGAGATAAGGAGAAACAGAGTTTATGAAGGCTCTGTTTTGTTAAAATTTTAGTGAGCCCCCTCCAATACGATACTGCCTTTGTGTAAAAACCGGGGGTCTTTTTGAGTACGAGGTTGCTGTACGCGCTGATTTGTTGACAATCTCTGTACTCGCTTTTATGAAGTGACACGTAATGAGATGATGATTTGGATCTGATTACACGTCCAACTAGCCAATAGTGTTGGGTCCGGCTGAGTACGGCACGGTAACGTGGCCAGCGGAGACAGCGAGTTTACATGTTTTGTACTCAGAGAGTACGATAAGTTTTTTTTGTATTGTCCTTTATATTCTCGTTTTTTGCACTTAAACCCCCAATATGTAATTATTATTTTTTTTTTTAACCTAGTCCAATTGTGAAAAACATTGACGATGATTCCCGTTCAACACGCAATTAGACATTTTTGAATGTTTTTTTTTTTTTTTTTTTGGGGGAATAACATATTTGAATGTTAATCATGAGTAAAATCTATTTTTTGAGGCTTCTAACAAATTTAATAAATAAAAAGTTTGAGCCAAAAAAAGTTATTTGTTTGACATATCTTAAAATATAAAAAAAAAAATTAAGATATTGTTTAGTCCACTTTATTTGTTAACAATTTGGTAATTATTATTTATTGTACAATGACTTAGTTACTTTTTTTTTTGTAGAATTTATAGTTTTTCATTTTTCATATAAATGAAATTTTTATACGCAGAAAAACAAAATGGTAAAGGCCAATTATATTACTATACTGCTAGCAAAAGCACCAAAAAATTCATTTTAGGTAGCTTTTGGTTTAATTAGGAAACTTGGTCAAAGGTTAATTTTTAACTTTTAACTTATTTTAAGTTTATATTATTTCTTTATTTTTTTATACGCTTTTTAAAAAAAAATTAAAAAAAAAAATTAAAAAATCAATTTTTAATCAATTTTTCAAAACAAACTTTGTAATGTTTAAAAATGCTCATGTTGCACAAAGAAATAATATAATTTTTTTAACCAACCTAAAACAACGCTCCTACTGGATCCAAACAAGGTTTTGTTTAAAGAAAAGAAGGCTTCGTTTGACTATTTTAGTTGGGACTAAAAAAGTACAAAAGATAAAATATGTTAAATAAGTTAACAAGATAAAATGTCATATTTAACCATAATCAATTCATTTTTTCTCTCACAAAAAATAAAAAAATAAAAAAAATTTGCCAAATAAACTTTTTAATCCTAAATTTAAAAAGTCCTAATTCCAAAAAGCCAATGAAATTTTTTTTTTGCCGACAACTAACAAAAGCAACTGCTAGACGACACAAAGCAAAGCTAAAGTTGTTAGTTGAAGTGACTAAGATCAAAGATCTTGAGACTAAAAAAGTGTATTGTAAAAAAAAAAAAAAAAATTGTAATAATTAAGATAAATAATTGGATGTATTAATGATTGTTAATTTATGAAATTAACCAAATTGGCTAGTCTTTATTGCAATCAATGATTTACTACTATAGGTTCTAACCTTATGTTACCGTTTAATAAGAGATGAATGACCATGAAAGTTAATATATATTAAATGCTATAACAACTCCAATCTGCACAAGTTGAATATTCACTTTTTCAGTCATATGGCATTTTAAGAGAAGCTTATGTATAACAAGCCAAATGATTTCTTAGCTCTAATATGATATGTACCTAAAAAGAATTTATTTTTATTTTTATTTTTTGAAAAATGCTAGAAAATTTGTTTAACAAACTGTTTTTCCAAATTTTAATCCTTTTTTAGTTAACAAAAGTGAAAACAAATGAAAACATAATCAAACAGATAAAAAAAAAATTATGTCAGCTAAAGTCAACATGTATATCTTATGTTCATTGTGTGTGATCAATTGGGTTTTCAATGGTATTTTTTTTTCACATAAATGCAATTGTGCTCTGCATTCTGGGTGTTAGTTCGTCATTGTCAACAATAGGTGTCTAACCATGTTGGGTTGAGCTGAATGTTCTTTATTCAAACAATAAGAAATATAAATCAAATGTTTAAGCAAAATACAAGCACTTGCAAAGAAACAAAAGATTCAAAAAAGTACAACCTTCCCTCAAATCACTACAATAATAAACAATGTGTAAATTTGGTGAAAAACTAAAAGCACAAGCACTTGTAAGGAATATATACATATAAAGCAAAGTATGAGATTTTTCATCCTTAATTTTTTCTATTTTTTATCTAAATATATTTTTAACAGTTGAATTATACCTTGAGATTTATACGTTTTGAAATTTTCACATGATCCAATAATTAAAAATGTATCGAGACGAAAGAATTAAAAGTAAAACTTAATGATTAAAAATCTATTGGGATGAAAAAATAAAGAGATTTAAAAATAAAAAACCATTGGGTAATACAAGTCAGCCACTAATGCATGTTCTTATTGGATCCTGATTATTCAATAAAGGAAAATGAGTGGGAGCACTAATTAGTGCTACCACTAATGATGTGGCAGTAGGTCCCACCATGAATGATTTGATGTTTTGGCCTTGGTGTTGTATTTTTTTTCTTTTTTTATTGAGTGCCATGTCATTAGTGGTCTTTTTAGAACTCCAAAATTAGTGGTCTCTATCATTGTTGTTCAATAAAAGTTGGCTGACTGACATGCCTTCCAATTGTTCCCGGTTGGATCTGGTTATTCAATAATAGACATTATTTTAATGGTTGGCTAGTCTTTTTCTCTCTCTCACATCTGAGTTATAGCAAGTTAGACATATATAGATGTTTGTTATGTATGTGTGTATATGTGTAAACAAAATGCAAAGCAAGAGTATGATCACCTTTTAAAGCAGTTGATGCATAGAAGAGATGCAGCCTTGTTTAACCTGTTTTTATAGTTCATCTACAATTTTAGGGCAAATTACATATACCCCTCGAGGTTTGGCTAAATTACAGATACCCCCTGAGGTTTGAGAAATTACGAATTCCCCCCTGAATGCTATATTTGCATAAGAAATTAGGGGGTAATTTGTTATGAAATATAAACCTCAGGGGGCAAATTGTTATGAAAATACAAACTTCAGGGGGCGGGATGTAATTTCCGAAACCTCAGGGGGTATCTGTAATTTAGCCAAACCTCGAGGGGGCTATATGTAATTTGCCCGTTTTAAGAGCATAAGTTTTGTGGTGTAATTTCAGAAAAAAACACTTTACAAATCAATAAATTTTATCAACCTTTTTTTTTTTACTCACATTTGTAAGCATGTAGTCAAGATTTTGATTGCAGAGGGCAAATACTAAGACTGCTTATTGAGTTAGGTTGGTTTGGAACACAAAATTCAGTTTGGTTAAAAGAATTACTTATCAATATTTTACAAATATCTAAAATCATACATATCACTACAACAAAATCATCTTTACATTCAAATTAATAGAACTTTCAACTAGTATGAAATGAAAAGAAAAGGAAGAAAAAAAAAATACATAATAATAATAATAAATCTTAGATTTATTTGTAAATTAAACAAAGAGTGAATTTACGTTCACTTTTAATGATGCATCAAGTTTGTTGGAAGATAAATAATAAAAATTTGAAGAGCATGTATAAAATTTTAAAAAGAAAAATTAGAAAACATTTCAAAATTTTAGATTTCTTTTTCCTTTAAAAATTGACGGGGCCTCTCATGATTTCTTGATGGCTAATCTCTTCATGTAATAACGAAATTTAGTATTTGAAACGGGGTCTACAAAAATAATATTATAAGGACAATTAAACTGTCAGATCTATAAATAAATAAAAAAGATTGTCAAATTTATTTATTTGTATAACATTATTTGTTAATCCCACTTATGTAAAATCTTAAAAATTTGAAGGGGAAAATTATTTAACAGGTCCTTTGATACAATATGTCCATATGTATGCCATGTGTTTATACTTTAATGTGACGCATTATGAAGTGATGCAAACGCGTGAAGAAGATGGCATAGACTTGATCAACATCTTTGTCCTTGAAGTAGAATACACTCCACCACTCTCTCCCCTCCTTTGTTGGTGAGGACTTTAATACCTTGCTAATTAGAGATTATCTCACAATTCAATCCCCGTCCCCATTAATGGTAAAAACCTTGACTAAAATCTTTGGAAAGAGATATAAAAAAAAATTTTAAAAAGGTGAAGATTTTGATATTGGATTTGTCAAGAAAGAAAATTGTAAAAAAAAATGAAATCATATATACATATTTATTTTTATTGGTAATTGTAAGAAGAGTTAACTTGAGCCCACTAATTAATTGGGCCTAATCGAAAAGCCCAAAAATTGGTGAGCTTAGAGAAATTATTGTCAAATAGGCCAAGTGAATTCTATAGAACGGGCCCGCAAGAAAGTCAACAAATTGCGTTGATAAGGATACATTTCAAGCATATATTTCTAAAAAAAGCTCAACCAGCCCATTCTAGGAGGTCCAGATCATACGGGTGTCCGAGGAGGTTAACTGTTATTTTTGGAAGAGATGAAACCCTCAGAGGAGATCCATTTTTCGAAATATTTGCATAGTCTTGAAAGGGTTCGGAATCACGAACCTGGAGACCTATTTGAGCTTAGACTTGAAAGGGTTCGGATCTACAAACCTAGAGATCTGAAGCGTTTGGCTTTAAACAGATACGAACGCAATCTAGAAGCCACTCCATTAATGAGTCCCAGAACACCTGCGGGTTTAGAGCTTTCCGAGATCTATGCACTAGAACCATAGGCGTAACGGAGTCCGAATAAAGGACCTGATCTCGAGGACGGTGAGTAGAGATAGATTAACTCTCCGATTAAACTAGCCTATATCTAAGTTGATGTGGCATAATCTAGGGGGTCCCTAAGACTCGGCAATATTTGCGGCAGGGCATTCTCTTGAACTACCCCTGACCCTTCTGCTACAGGGTGTCCTCTGGGACTACCTCTGACCCTTTGGGATGATTGAGGATCATTGGTTAGACGTGGCTAAAAAGAAGGGTTTGTCGAAAGATTGATCTCCTCTTCGGGGTTTTCCTTATCCTCGGAGAGGTCACCTCTTTGGACAA